GCACAGGATTCATTGTGAATAAAAAGATTAAGCACCTAATCATAGCTTTCCATACACATAATCCAAGACTCTGCACATTAAGGTCAAGAGGAAAGTTCGTCAACTACAGCATCCTATGCGCCCATGCCCCAACTGAGAAAAAAGAAGAAGACATTAAAGATCTATTTAATGAAGAACTCGAGGCCTACTAAAGATGTCATGGGAACGACTCAAGATTATATTAAGTGATCTTAACGCCAAAATTAGAAGAAAGAATTGGTAAATATATCAATCTACATGATTGATGACAGATTGATAAATCTAGCAGCATCCCTTAATATGGTTATCATCCCTCTATACGAACGAAGCAGCGCCGATGAAGAATGGGAATCATTTAGAGGAGATGTACTAAATAGAAACGGCAGAAGAGTCCCTGGGGAGAGAGGAACCAAAGAAAGCCGAATCTGAATGGTTTGACGAAGAGTGTGGAACCATAACTAAACTTAACTTACGTCAATACTAAAATGCAGTCTATTTACAGCCCTGATAAACAAGTTTCCTTCTACAAATTCATGGTCTTATGACGAGGACCATTAGTTTTCTATCAATGCATCAAAACCGGGAAGGATACAGCGTGGGGCTTGTGAACGGAATCCAATGTTGAGCGGAGCTGTTTTTAATAGTTGTTACAAGCTTCAGAGACATTCTGTTTTTATGCATCGATATTACAACAGCTACGAGTTAGCTATAAACCTTCTCCAAAAGAAATCGTACTGTACAGCAACTCTGAATATAAAAAACAAAAATTATTCATTAAGTCCTTATTTTATAATGGGTGCACATTGGTAAATGAAGTGGACGTCCTATCTATAACGACTGAATATGGAAATGACAAGGCTGAATACAGAAATGAAAGAGGGCGCATAACACTAAAAACCTGCTGCAATTATCAATTACAACAAACACATGTAAGGTATTGATCAGCATGATCAAATGCTGGCGTATTACCCTTGTGTCCGCAAAACATTGCGCTGGAAAAAAAAATTTGTCCATATATTACAAATGAGTACAATAAATTCTTATATTTTGTACAAAAAGTACTCAAGCTGAAGAAGTAAGAGTATATATGAGTTCCGATTAGCACTTTTGGAATTACTTTTACCAAAAGTTATCCCAGCACGAATTACGAAAAATAGACAAAACTACGGATATAGAATATAAAACACGTGATCAAACGATCAAGAAGATGAAAAGAGTAGTAAAAAGGAATGTACAGTTTATAGAAGTAAAAAGGAGAGGACTTCAAGTACGCACGTTTATAATTCCTGTGAAGGTTTACCTGGTTTTTGCAGTGAATGCTGTTTTATTCATCATAGACAACAAATTACAGAATTCACACTTATATTGACATTACATTGACCGGTGTTGAGACAAAAAAGTGTATTCACATTGCCAGTATAAGTCATGACAGGTCCGATCTTGCTTCAGTCAAATATTCTTTTCGACGAATCAGCACCGGCGCGATATCAGATCGGAACTAGAGCGATACGATAGTGAGAATATTAACCACCGCTGGGTGGATTTCCCCGCGGATTTGACCAAAATATATCAAATAATGTTGGTTGTTGGATTCCGTTATCAGTTTTTCAAAATTAAAGCTCCCTAATTTTTGAAGAGCGATTTAATGGAATTATAAATTAAAGAGCAACAGAAATAAGCTCTGCGGGATGACGGGGGTTCCGTCCATTCGGAACAGATGATGCGTCCCAGACAGGACGTCGCGCCTTATTTCTTTATGTAGGTAAGATAAAGGCGCGACGTACTGTCTGGGACGCACCGTCTGTTCCGATTGGACGGAACCCTCCTCTCCCCGCATAGCTTATTTCTGTTTCAACCGCGTTGAAATTCGCCATATCGTTTTCGAAATAACCGCATCCTACTAAACCGCGATTTTCCGCACTCTACTTTAGATACAGGGTCAATTAAATGTTTGTAAAAAGGATCGCTGTTATTTCATCGTGTACATCAACGTTAAAGAACCTCTATTTGTTGAAGTCATCGAACGCGATGAGAAATTGTGGCGATATGTTATGTTGCCAAAATTGGTATCATTCTATAAAAATTGCATGCTACCAGTAATCGTACGTCGCAGTATACGCAAATAAGACACTGTAAAAAACTTAATTATTACTAAATGTAGGGTAATAACCGTTCTAAAATTAGTGTTACAATGGCTCGCTGGTTAAACATATATCACTTTATACAGGGTGTGTCAAATGTCTGGAATATAGCCAATAACTTCGCCATTTGTGGTTTTAAAGAAAAATGTTTCAAATAAAAAATTCTTTATTAGTTGTGGCGCATTTTTTGGCAATACTTGCTTGTTTACATTGTTCTTTGTTTCGTTGCTATGGCAACCGACATTGTTATTTTAAATGGAATGCTTTTTTTTTGCACATTTGAATAGAGGATACATCCCTCTACGCGATGAACATATCAAATCATATAGTTGTATTAGATAAAAATCGAGAAAAAAATGCTGAAAAATTGTTGAAACTGAATTTTTTTTGACATTTAAAGCTGTCAACGGCGTTATTTCGGCGCCTACTTTGATTGTAATTAGCTGATTTAAGACTTTCAAAAAACGCATTTTTTCTCTTTTTTTTTCTTATACGAAACAAACAACGATACAAGCAACGAAACAAAAAACAATACAAACAAGCTAATATCGCCAAAAAATGCGCCATGATTAATAAAGAAACTTATTTGAAACATTTTTCTTTAAAACTACAACTGGCGAAGTTATTGGCTATATTCCAGACATTTGATTTTTTTTCGTTCCGCTAATTTTTGTTATTACTTTTATTTGTAATAAAAAAATTATTATTGCAACGTTAGTAACCTAGGGGGCTTAATATACTTAAAATTTTATTTTAATAAATTAAATATTTTATTTGAAAGTCCCTAGATTTACAAAGTACCGCGGTTTGACGCCTTTTTGGCTCGAAAGTCAAGCGGGAAATTTAAAACTACAAACCAAAACATTACGCCAAATTTCCTTTCTTTTTTTCTTGTGGTATTCTGAAGAGTCGAAAGTCCTTCTTACTGCCATTTTTGCAACGCCAAAGGCAACAAGACGGCAATATTTTTGTAAATAAGTGGTGAGATGCAGTGACAAGCTGTCAAACCGCCATTTTGGCTCGAAAACGGGCTTCATGAACNACCTTCTCCAAAAGAAATCGTACTGTACAGCAACTCTGAATATAAAAAACAAAAATTATTCATTAAGTCCTTATTTTATAATGGGTGCACATTGGTAAATGAAGTGGACGTCCTATCTATAACGACTGAATATGGAAATGACAAGGCTGAATACAGAAATGAAAGAGGGCGCATAACACTAAAAACCTGCTGCAATTATCAATTACAACAAACACATGTAAGGTATTGATCAGCATGATCAAATGCTGGCGTATTACCCTTGTGTCCGCAAAACATTGCGCTGGAAAAAAAAATTTGTCCATATATTACAAATGAGTACAATAAATTCTTATATTTTGTACAAAAAGTACTCAAGCTGAAGAAGTAAGAGTATATATGAGTTCCGATTAGCACTTTTGGAATTACTTTTACCAAAAGTTATCCCAGCACGAATTACGAAAAATAGACAAAACTACGGATATAGAATATAAAACACGTGATCAAACGATCAAGAAGATGAAAAGACTAGTAAGAAAGGAATGTACAGTTTATAGAAGTAAAAAGGAGAGGACTTCAAGTACGCACGTTTATAATTCCTGTGAAGGTTTACAGAATTCAGAATTGTTAACAAATTACAGAATTCACACTTATATTGACATTACATTGACCGGTGTTGAGACAAAAAACTGTATTCACACTGCCAATATAGGTCATAACAGGTCCGATCTCGCTTCAGTCAAATATTCTTTTCGACGAATCGGCACCGGCGCGATATACGATCTGAACTAGGGCGATACGATAGTGAGAACATTAATATTGTATTTAAGAATATTTGACCTAACCAAGAACGGACCGGTTAGGAAGAGAATGAGATTGAACCGTGAACGGCATCACAGTGTGAATCGGGCCTTAACGTGCCATAGTAAAGTGACCAAACGATCTAGACAGCCGTTCTCGGCACCAAAACATACTCCATCATGTTGCTTAATTATGTTCTGAATCCTAAATTGATATCCCAAAAATCGAGTGTTTTGTGATCTTTTGAACAAACGTCTGCTAGAGCAGATTTTTATTAGAAAAAATCGAATAACTTGAGAACGGCAGAATCAAATTGGAAAAATTAAAGTTATTCATAAACCTTGAAAAGAGACAAATCAAAATATGTAAAAATATATAGGGTTCCATTTAAAAAAATAAAGTAGGTGGCGACTTTCGGTATAACCAGAAGTGCTAAAAATCTGAAAATATTTTAGTCGAAGAGAACGCAGTTGATTATACTTAAGTCTGATTTTCAAATTTTTATTTTGGCCAGAACCCCATAAACGTCTAATGAACGGTCTCGCTGAGACACCTGTATAGGTAATAGTTGAATCACTAGTTGTAAAGAGAAAAAATACTAGAAACTCTTTACTGCCCAAACCTTTCTAGGAATCAAAATTCAAAACTTGTTTATCTTTATTAACAATAACCAACTAACTTACGGTTTAACTGTATACCAGAAAAGGATGCTTACTTACTTATTTCAGCACACTGGACACTGGCACAACTTAACAACTAAATTCCCAACAATGTTTTATTTAAAAATAAATTAGTGTCAATTTATAAAATATATTACTAAAATGAAAATTACAGAAAATGGTAATTAAATCATTCGACCGAAATGAAAAATAATTTTTCTCTTTATTATTAAAAAGCAAACACCATTTAATTTGCCAGTTTTTTTAAAACAACCATTAAATCGAGGAGAACAAACCTTTTTTGCAGGAACCTATAACAAAATGGATTTGAAAAAAAGATGGGATATTAAAAATTATTTCGAATTTGATTTAAAAATACATTTATTGTATCCTAAAAACTCCCTATAAAACTAATTACAAAGCTAGTAAAAAAAATAGAAAAAGAAACACTAAAAAATAAGGAACTCAAATAAAACTAAACGTGTATGGCTGTTCGTACACGTGAATTGTTCGTCTTTTTTAACTAAAATTAAAAACAAAACAAAAAATAAAAAAAAAATAAACTCAAACTAAGGAAAATCCTGATTTACCTCTTTATCAATTGCTTTAAATTGTCTCGACCAATTTGCTCGATATAAAAACGGTCGTAAATCAAATCGATTATCATCAGGACTGTATCCTTCCGCATGATACGAAGGTGTTAGAACGGTCATTTTATGGCGATTAATCGCGTAACATCTTGAAATAAAAGAACATATTAACAATAAAGAAAAAAATTATTTATGGAAAGAAATTTTTACCTAAAAAAATGTTTGACTTTCTCAGCAACTTCTTCTGGACTACAATCATTCCCCCATCGATCTTTTAATTTATAAAACATAGAATAAGGTCCACATCTTTCTTGTTTCCTCAATCTCCCAAAAATGCTTAACTCCGCATAAGTCATCCCCATATCCTCCTCATCTGTTTGCATCAAAGCCCCTTCTTTTAACGGTTCTAACTCGGCGGTTGGCGGAGCTTTAACAATCTCTCCAATAATTGGAATATTAAATTTTTCTTTAACGTAATTCAAAAACATTCTTAGATCGGTTTTTGAAATTCCCCCGATAGGATTTACGTCGGCACTTGAGCAATCGTATTTTGTCATGTAACCGCGTAAAGCTTCGTCGACGTTCGCCGAACCCAAAACGAGTAAACCACCGGGCCGGTTACGGGCCCAAAGCATTAATTGGGCGAATAAGTAAGACAAGACCATTCTTAAACGGGCTTGGATATTTTGTAGGGCGAGGTTTTGGCGGGCGCATCCGCCGTTTGAAGCAAATTTTGGAAAGAAACCAGTTATTGTTGAGAAAATTTCTAAAACTGCTGAAACCACTTTGTCGATGGTAATTACCATGTGGTAACTAGACAAACAAGANCTGTGGACTGTTCTGCTTCGAGTAAAGGTATTTCCCGAATGATTTGTGCCTTACTTCGTTTTTTATAACAACAACACAAACAAGACAAAGTGGCCAAAAATTACACCTAACTTTGCGATTTTTTTTGTTAATAATAATAAGAATTTTGGTGATTGGTGATTTTTACTCGAAAGCCCTATATGTCACCTCATACTAAAAGTTTTACTTCAATTGCTTTCATGCGCCCTAAATTTTGGAACTGCTGAACCCGTTTCTTATGACCTGTGTTTTGATATAGTTTAACGCGACCTTAAGAATATTTGACCTAACCAAGAACGGACCGGTTAGGAAGAGAGTGAGATTGAACCGTAAACGGCATCATAGTGTGAATCGGGCCTTAACGTGCCATAGTAAAGTGACCAAACGATCTAGACAGCCATTCTCGGCACCAAAACATACTCCATCATGTTGCTTAATTATGTTCTGAATCCTAAATTGATATCCCAATAATCGAGTGTTTTGTGATCTTTTGAACAAATGTCTGCTAGAGCAGATTTTTTTAGAAAAAATCGAATAACTCGAGAACGGCCGAATCAAATTGGAAAAATTAAAGTTATTCATAAACCTTGAAAAAAGACAAATCCAAATATGTAAAAATATATAGGTGTTCCATTTATAAAAATAAAGTAGGTGGCGACTTTCGGTATAACCAGAAGTGCTAAAAATCTGAAAATATTTTACTCGAAGAGAACGCAATTGATTATACTTAAATCTGATTAAACATCTAATGAACGGTCTCGCTGAGACACCCTGTATAGGTAATAGTTGAATCACTAGTTGTAAAGAGAAAAATACTAGAATCTCTTTACTGCCCAAACCTTTCTAGGAATCAAAATTCAAAACTTATTTATCTCTATTAACAATAACCAACTAACTTACGGTTTAACTGTATACCAGAAAAGGATGCTTACTTACTTATTTCAGCACACTGGACACTGGCACAACTTAACAACTAAATTCCCAACAATGTTTTATTTAAAAATAAATTAGTGTCAATTTATAAAATATATTACTAAAATGAAAATTACAGAAAATGGTAATTAAATCATTCGACCGAAATGAAAAATAATTTTTCTCTTTATTATTAAAAAGCAAACACCATTTAATTTGCCAGTTTTTTTAAAACAACCATTAAATCGAGGAGAACAAACCTTTTTTGCAGGAACCTATAACAAAATGGATTTGAAAAAAAGATGGGATATTAAAAATTATTTCGAATTTGATTTAAAAATACATTTATTGTATCCTAAAAACTCCTTATATATACTAATTATAAAGCTAGTAAAAAAAATAGAAAAAGAAACACTAAAAAATGAGGAACTCAAATAAAACTAAACGTGTATGGCTGTTCGTACACGTGAATTGTTCGTCTTTTTTAACTAAAATTAAAAACAAAACAAAAAATAAAAAAAAAATAAACTCAAACTAAGGAAAATCCTGATTTACCTCTTTATCAATTGCTTTAAATTGTCTCGACCAATTTGCTCGATATAAAAACGGTCGTAAATCAAATCGATTATCATCAGGACTGTATCCTTCCGCATGATACGAAGGTGTTAGAACGGTCATTTTATGGCGATTAATCGCGTAACATCTTGAAATAAAAGAACATATTAACAATAAAGAAAAAAATTATTTATGGAAAGAAATTTTTACCTAAAAAAATGTTTGACTTTCTCTGCAACTTCTTCTGGACTACAATCATTCCCCCATCGATCTTTTAATTTATAAAACATAGAATAAGGCCCACATCTTTCTTGTTTCCTCAATCTCCCAAAAATGCTTAACTCCGCATAAGTCATCCCCATATCCTCCTCATCTGTTTGCATCAAAGCCCCTTCTTTTAACGGTTCTAACTCGGCGGTTGGCGGAGCTTTAACAATCTCTCCAATAATTGGAATATTAAATTTTTCTTTAACGTAATTCAAAAACATTCTTAGATCGGTTTTTGAAATTCCCCCGATAGGATTTACGTCGGCACTTGAGCAATCGTATTTTGTCATGTAACCGCGTAAAGCTTCGTCGACGTTCGCCGAACCCAAAACGAGTAAACCACCGGGCCGGTTACGGGCCCAAAGCATTAATTGAGCGAATAAGTAAGACAAGACCATTCTTAAACGGGCTTGGATGTTTTGTAGGGCGAGGTTTTGGCGAGCGCATCCGCCGTTTGAAGCAAATTTTGGGAAGAAACCGGTTATTGTTGAGAAAATTTCTAGAACTGCTGAAACCACTTTGTCGATGGTGATTACCATATGGTAACTAGACAAACAAGACAAATAAAATATGAATTAAAAAAGTACTGCATAAATTTTCGGACAGTTTAAAGACAATTATTATAATAATTTTTCTTAATTATTGACTATCTATGAAGATAATAACAGATTAATTAAATTTCAAAATAAATACATAAATACGTAAACTTAAATATATTAAGTGTAACATCCGATATGGGTGCTTGTAATCAAGGCCGAATTGGGGAAATCCTCTTACACCGAAAATGTCTGCGTATGTTTTTCTTAATGTGCCACGTCTTTTAATAAACATCAAAGTTGCAAAATAACAAAATTATTGAATTTCCAACACATACATGCAGAAAAATAATTTTCCAATGAGGACAGTCATCTTTTCAACTAACTCCAAAATTATCTGAAGATGGTTTACTTCCCAGTACCTTTAATAAAATAAATATATAACAACGTTCTTCTACGAACAAGATTAAATATATATCTCCTTAATGAAGCCATCCTACTACAGCATCAAGATATTTATAATAAAACAATTCACATTTTTTAAAAATTTATGGATCTGTCAACGTGTGCAGGTTGGCTATCTATAAAAGAAGTTGGAAACACTCTTAGGCAGGTATGTCATGGACAACTAGTTCTATCCTGGAATTACACAAAAATTATAGAAAATGAACAATTCAAATTTTAGGGTAATCAGTAGATTGTTCCCAATGTCCTACAAGTCAAAGAACTTGAAAATAATTTGTGAACCACAATATTTAAAAGATATAAACACTGATTTTCGAGTACAATAAAGATATGTGTATATTTCTTTCAGGCTTTATGGAACTATTAAATAAAAAAAAATAGTTGAACTGCCATTGTCTAAGGATATAGATGTACCAGATAACCCACTATTTCAAAGCATTTAATTTAAATGACCTTAATATTTATGCATACATTATTAGCAGCATATTTCGAAAGGTTGTGAAACATGTATTGAATAAGTAACATTACAAACATGTATAAAAAATATTATTATAAAGTTGTATATTCGATTTATTTAACACAAATGTTAACATAATGATTTATCTTTAATCAGATGGTGAAATTAGAATTAAATATTCCCGACTGTCGCAAGGACTTAAAGAGGAAATAAATTTAAACCTTTAAAAAAATTTTTGTCATAAAAATGTTCTTAAACCCTTTAAGAATATAAAATGTTAAAGTAAAATTCTAAGTACTTCCAGTGTAATAACCCCTTTTCTTGGAGCATCAGTCCATTTAGTGAATTATCCTCTAACACTTCATCCAGATGTATAATAACATGTATTGGCAATTTATGAAGATAATTTACTAATCAAATATTTGGGAGTCATACCCAGAATGCTAATGAAAGGTTGAGGTTGGCTAATAAAGGACATACTGTCTTTTAAAAACCAATGAATTCATTAAATATTATTATTAGTAAGAAAGACACTAGGTGACTCTGTTGCTACGGCCGGTGAAGACATTTGCTCTTTATTTTCAGATTGCTTCGGCTCAGTTTTCACTGCTTCGGCGGGTGCCGGCTCGTTGTGATATTGCTGTGGGTTATTCTGGAGTCTTATGTTTTGATCGCGAGGAGGTGGAGGTGGTACTGAGCGAGATTGACGGGACCGGGATCGGATGGTATCCCTGGTTTCTTGATAAAAAATTGTTACAAGTCACTTTCATTTCCCCTTACTATTTTGTACAACGTCTCCTTAAGTACTTGTGTTTTCCCATCTGCCTGGAAGCAAGCTCACGTTATACCAATATTAAAGTCTGGTAACCGTAATGATGCGTCCAATTACAGAAAAATATCTCTTTTTCCACAGTTCAGTAAGGTTTTCGAGAGGCTTGTATATAAACGTTTATTTTTTGCTGTTAAGTATCAAGTTTCTAAAAGTTAACGTGCCATAGTAAAGTGACCAAACGCTCCAGACAGTCGTACTCGGCACCAAAATATACTCCATCATGTTGCTTAAGCATGTTCTGAATCCTAAATTGATATCACAAAAACCGAGTGATTTCTGATTTTTTGAACAAATGTTTGCTGGAGCAGATTTTTCTAGAAAAATTCGAATAACTCGAAAACGGCCGAATAAAATTGCAAAACGTAAAGTTATTCATAAACCTACAAAACAGACAAATCCAAATAAGTAAAAGTATACAGGTGTTCCATTTAAAAAAATAAAGTAGGTGGCGACTTCCGGTATAACCGGAAATGCTAGAAATCTGAATATTTTAGTCGAAGAGAACGCAATTGATAATACTCAAATCTAAATTTTCAAATTTTTATTTTGGCCAGAACCCCGTATAGTTCTAATGGACGGTTGTCGTGGATGACCCTGTATAAAATGTATTACAAAAATTACTATTTTACGATATTTAGCTAGGTTTTTGTGATATTCATCCATGGCCATAATGTTATAATTGCTGCCTTTTTACTGTTTTTAAAAGTAAGATATTATTAAATTATTTATTGTAATATATACTTTTATAATGCTACTAGGCAACATGACAATCGAAAATAAAAAAGAAAATATGAAGAAGAAAATAGATGTTTCGTAGCGAATGGGAGGAAAGTTTCGCATTTATCAAATACAATTATAAATCATTATGTCTTATTTGCAATAATATCATCGCAAACTATAAAATAAGTAATTTACGCAGACATTGTGAAACAACTCATCCGCAGTTTTCCATTCAGTATTCACTATCCACAAGTTCAAAATTGCGAAAAGAAAAATTAATTTCGTTAAAAAATTGTCTCCAGAAACAACAAGGCCTCTTAGCTTCATGTAGAAACGAAAATAATAGGAAAATTAAAGCTACGTTGAAGGAGAACTTATTATTAACATTCTGGAGTCAACATATGAAAAATTGCAGAAACTAATTACCCAAATTCCAACATCACCCCGTATTACAGAGCGTCCTATTTCTGTAATAAATAAAACTATTGAAAATAATTTGAAATATGATTTAAATAACTGTACTGCATTCAGGATAGCGCTCGACGAATCTACAGACATTCAAGATATTCCACAATTAGCGATTTTTGTCCGCTACATTTCTGAAGAAGTACAGATAAAAGAAGAATGCTAGATCTAAATTAATAAGTAAAAAAAGAAAAAATTTTTTTAACGATGAATAATGTTTATTATTTAAATTCGGTGCTAATTTAATGTTCCCTTACACGAAAATGACTATATTAACGAAATGGGAATAATCATAAAGATGGGTTTGAACAATAAATACGATATCTCAGACATACAAAGGATTTACAACAAAACTCATGCATCCCACATTAACAAACTCATCTTCCCACATTACACAAAGAAGTTCAGATATTTGTCGGTCCCTTTCATACCTACAATTCAATATAAACTTAAACAAAATCTGAATAAATTTAACATTATCCCCGCATATACCTCAAACAATAAGATAAGCACATACATTTTAAACAACAAACATAAGTTCATTAAAGATGAATTGAGCGGCGTATACAGAATCAATTGCACTGATTGTGAATCTTTCTATATAGGACAGACCGGCCGTAATTTAAAAACCAGAATGAAAGAACATATATCAAGAGAAAATTCTGCAATATATAAACATATACAAGACACTAAACATAAGATTGACAACGAAATAATTTTACTAAAAAAGGTTAAAAAGTCTAAAGAACTAAATCTTCTAGAGGAAATGTTCATACATAAATATAACAACATATATAGCGACCTTCTTCTAAATGATCTTACAGACATCAACAACAACAGATTTTTTCTTAAATACGTCAATCAAATTTAACATTTTAGTCAATTGCTTTAGAGTAACTTTACCACCTCCACCTGTTTAAACGCGCACGCGCTACTCTTTTTTGAACATTTATTCAGTCTGCCAAAATTTATGAGCGGTGTGAGTACCTGTTTTCTTCCGATTCTATGTTTCGCTGTCGCCATTTGTCTTTTGTTATAATGTTATATTGTATTTTTCATCCTTTTGACGGTATTTATAAACATAATTATCTGTATAATTTTAAATATTAACCATATATTTGTACTTTTAGTCGTGCCCGTCGAAGATTGCTAGGCAATCGAAACATTGTCGCACCGAATTTAAATAATAAACATTATTCATCGTTAAAAAAATTTTTTCTTTTTTTACTTATTAATTTACTACCTAACGATGAGCATTGAAAAAACTATCGCAAAAAAAAAAAAAGCATTTTTTTTTGTAACTCTTACAATTAGAGAAATAACTCGCGGCATCGATAAACTATTGATAAACTTGTAAGCGACTGAAGGAGCTCCTGCAATGTTGGAAAAATGTACGAAAAAACCAAGGACTTATTGGTCTTTTGAAGTGATCTAAAAATTTCTAAGTTTGTACCAGTTCATTGTATAATTCATCACGAACATATTAGTATAAGTAAATATTTAAAATTTGAAAACGTGTGGAAATAATAAACTTTATTCGTGTAAATGCAAAACTCGTCGTCAGTTCAAAATTTTTTAGAAGAACTGAACGGTAGGTAGGAGATGATGAATCGGCGAATGATATATTATCTTACTGTATTGTAAGATTATTATCAGTTCATAATTTATTCAACCGATTTAATGAATTACTCACTCCCATTTGTATATTTTTAAAAGAACAAGGCAAGCAATGTCTAGAACTGGAATACGAAAACTGGCTTCAAGATTTAATGTTTATGACTGCATTTCCATGCAGCACTGAAAACTCTCAATTTAACTTTGCAAGGAAAAGAAAAAACTATAAGTAATTTATCTCAACTGCGCTTTCAAAATGATCTGGAGTCAAAAACATTTAAATGTTTTTGCAAGTTTTTTTTAATATTACGGAAGATAAAATTAACGAATATCAAGAATTTTAAAACCAGATTTGAAGATAGTAAGTAGACGTACTAGAAATGAAGGAAGATTATAAATTCAGCACAAATCTCTTTCCCTGACCGACTTTTGGAAACGAGTGCCAGAAGCAAAACATCCTAATTTAAAGAAAGCTGCTTGTCGACTATTTTGAATTTTTGGTGTGTACAACATATTCTCGCTCTGAAAATCGGCTGAGTTTATAATTATTAAACATTTTATTTTTTGTTAGCTGTTTTTCTATTATCTTTTACTTTTCAATAAATATTCCCATAACTATCGAATGCAATTTTATGAGAAATATAACATGGCTCGCAAAAGAAATATTAAACTTGTATAAGGCTCCTGTTGATCCACCCCTGTTATAGTATAGTGAACGACTTTTTTCCGAAGCGGGAAACTTTTATGAAACCAAAAGAATCTTTGGTGTTTTTGCATCACAATATTCCCTTAATTGAAATGGAATTCTTTTGAAAAAACTTTCTAATTATGATATTCCCAATGGCTTAATTCACTGTATTTCTTCGTATATATACGGCAGATCACAAGCCGTTGCCATTAATAATTATTGCTCAACATTTAGAGATATTACTTCCGGTGTAGCCCAAGGCAACCATCTGGGGCCGTTGCTATTTCTGCTTTACATCAACGACATCCATACCTGATTTCACCACTCAAAATTCCTTCTGTATGCCGACGACAGCAATATATTTGCACCTATTTGCTCGCTTGAAGACTGTGCAAAGTTGCAAAGCGACTTGGACAGACTACAAGCATATTGTTTAATTAATAATCTTTATATTCATTATGACAAGTGCAGCAAGAATACTTTCACACGTAAACGGTATCCTACTGCTTTTGATTACTTGCTTGGTTCTAACACCCTCAAACAATCCGAATGCGTTAGAGATCTTGGCGTTTTTTTCGACTCCAAACTTACTTTCTCCGCTCACATTGATTCTATTGTTAATAAGGCCTCCCGGATGCTCGGCTTTTTATGTCGTACATGTCGACCCTTCACTGATCTATCCTCTATTCGTTCACTTTATTTCACCTATGTGTCTTCAATACTTAACTATGCATCTACAGTTTGGAACCCCCAATATCGCATTTACATTGATCGCTTGGAGCAAGTACAAAAGCGTTTTCTTAGGTACCTTGCACACAATTTTTTTTTACCTTACAGCACTTACGGCCAGCGATGCATAGTGTTCAGCATCCCGCAGCTTTCCATTCATTATTCACTATCCACAAGTTCAAAATTGCGAAAAGAAAAATTAATGTCGTTAAAAAATTGTCTCCAGAAACAACAAGGCCTCTTAGCTTCATGTAGAAACGAATATAATAGGAAAATTAAAGCTAGTTTTATTATATCTTGGAATATTGCCCGTAAAAAATGCCCGTACGTTGAAGGAGAACTTATCATTAAAATTCTGGAGTCAACATATGAAAAATTGCAGAAACTAATTACCCAAATCCAACATCACCCCCTATTACAGAGCGTCCTATTTCTGTAATAAATAAAACTATTGAAAATAATTTGAAATATAATTTAAATAACTGTACTGCATTCAGGATAGCGCTCGATGAATCTACAGACATTCAAGATATTCCACAATTAGCGATTTTTGTCCGCTACATTTCTGAAGAAGTACAGATAAAAGAGGAATGCTGGATCTTGTAACTCTTACAATTAGAGAAACAACTCGCGGCATCGATAAACTATTGATAAACTTGTAAACGACTGACAGAGCTCCTGCAATGTTGGAAAAATGTACGAAATGTACGAAAAAACCAAGGACTTATTGGTCTTTTGAAAAGTGATCTAAAAATTTGTAAGTTTGTACCAGTTCATTGTATAATTCATCACGAACATATTAGTATAAGTAAATTTAGAGATATTACTTTCGGTGTAGCCCAGGGCAGCCATCTGGGACCGTTGCTATTTCTGCTTTACATCAACATCGATACCTGCTTTCACCACTCAAAATTCCTTCTGTATGCCGACGAAAGCAAGATATTTGCACCTATTTGCTCGCTTGAAGACTGTGCAAAGTTGCAAAGCGACTTGGACAGACTACAAGCATATTGTTCAATTAATAATCTTTATGTTCATTATGACAAGTGCAGCAAGAATACTTTCACACGTAAACGCTATCCTACTGCTTTTGATTACTTGCTTGGTTCTAACACCCTCAAACAATCCGAATGCGTTAGAGATCTTGGCGTTTTTTTCGACTCCAAACTTACTTTCTCCGCTCACATTGATTCTATTGTTAATAAGGCCACCCGGATGCTCGGCTTTTTATGTCGTACATGTCGACCCTTCACTGATCTATCCTCTATTCGTTCACTTTATTTCACCTATGTGTCTTCAATACTTAACTATGCATCTACAGTTTGGAACCCCCAATATCGCATTTACATTGATCGCTTGGAGCAAGTACAAAAGCGTTTTCTTAGCAAGCACACAAATTTTTCTTACCTTACAACACTACGCCCAGCGATGCATAGTTTTCAGCATCCCGCAGCTTTCCTGCAGGCGCAGGATTTAATTTTTCTCTACAAACTTATTAACGGTATTGTTGACTGCTCCACGATACTTTCTAAGATACAGTTTAAAGTTCCAGCGCGCCCATCCCGTGAAAAGTCACTATTCTTTGTGTCGCGCACTAATACCTATGCGCTTTCAAACTCCGCGATTCCTCGCCTTATGTCTACGTTCTCCCATTATTGCTCAGAAAGTTCATGGTGTGTCCTAGCATTGAGCATTGCGTACGACAAGCAATAATAATATAAGCTGACTGTTTTTTCTTTTGTTATTATTGTTAATTTCAACCATTGTCGTTTTCTTGTTATTCAAAATTATCTATTTTTGTTAAGAATTCTTGTTAACTGCAATTTTTTTTTATTGTACTTATTAGCGGATGCTTCGCTGGGCTTGACCCGTCTGCATCCCAAACACATTTGAATAAAATAAATAAATAAATAAAAACTTTACTTTTTGTTTAATAATATTTATAATATATTTTGAATATTTTGCTTAGTTTTATCTGTTTTTAATATGTTTCTTTATTATTTCTTTTAATTAATAATCTGTTTGATTTTAATATCTCATTTTCTTTCATTATATTAAAGTGATCTCCTCTAAATCTTTGCTAAATGGCGTTTCTTACCTCCCTATAGCGGCGGCCAATCCAGCTGCCCTTTTCTTAGTCTCTTTTGAAGAATTTTCTGTTCCCATATAACATGTTACTAAAATACGATTACACAACTCATTGGGTAATGTTGGAGTATATTCATGATCACCCAATATTCTCCTCAAATCTGATAAAATTGTAGATTCTAAAAATCATTTATTACTTCATCAAAACAGGAAATTTATCAGATTTATTTATTAATATTATTACCTCCTTTTTGTACCTCTTGTACGATTAATCTACATAATGAATAAACTATTAAAGCTGTGCTTGAACTATCAACTCCTCCACTTAAAGGTAGAAAAAATCCTCCTTGTCCTGAGCGTCGCAAATAATCCCACAACCAACATGCGGGACCCTAAATAATATAATTTTTATAATATTAGCTTTACATAACAATAATTTAGTCAACAAAACCTGAGCAATTTCTTCTTCTGGTGGTAAACTAATCCAATCTACAGGGACAGAAATTGGTAACCTACTATTGCTATGTTCTGTTAATGAAAAATCAACTTCTATCCTTGGATAATTAGCACATCTAGCTGATTCAACAACGAAACTCCGTTTTGAGTTTCGATAAGATCGGATGTCTTCTAAATCAAAAGTGGCTGTGGTTATTTCCTAATAAACAAATTAAATTAATAATAAAAGTTAATAATATAAAAAGTTAATTGTTATCTTACAACGTCTTGTAAAGCGAATTGTTTAGAGTAAGCTAAAATTTCCCCATTTAAACAAATACAAGAATTTCCATCGAAATAAATTCTTTGACCATCACAACCTCTTAAATTACTAAAAACATAACAACCCCCACATTTTAAAGTAGCATCAGTAACCAATTTTCTTATAATATAAGCTTTTCTTAATTCTGTGTGACTGCCAGAACCGTTTATTATTATTTCAACTCCATCCAAGCTCATATCTACATGCGTATTTTTAGGGCTCCATAATTCTTCACAAATTTCAAACCCTAAGCAAGTATCTTTTGTGTCTAAAATAGCATCACCGAAAGGAACGGTTTTTTGGCCGGTTATTGAAGATATAATTTCCGGTAATCTTAATTCTTCTATTTTTCGAACCTTAAATAACATACATTTAATTTCTTAATCATTTCTATTTCAATATCAAAAATACCTTCTCCCAAGATGTAAACCACCTAGATTCCCTATAATTTCCATCATTACACATAGCAAGTTTTGGACGAATTAATAAAATTTTTTGGTTTAAAAAGACCACACGACAGTTATAAGCTACACTTTTAAATTTCACTGGCATACCAACATCAATAAGGATATCATTACATGAAGGTGATGTTAATAGTTCTAAAAGCACCTCCCAGCTGTGTAAAAATGTATCGTTTTCGTAAAAGTGATCTTCGCAACTATAACCACATATCTCTAATTCAGGCCCTGTTCTATAAGCAGCACCCTGTTCTTTAGCTTCAATGATAGATTCTAAGATTCGTTGAAGATTTCCGTCGAAATCTAAAGCCCATTGATTTAATGTAGCAGTAGCTATTGTTACTTTTTTACCCATTTTTGGTATTTTTATATGTAACTAGAAAAAATAAAATTAATGTAACAGTATTAAGTGAAAAATTATTAGGGATTACCTGTTTATTAATAGATATAAATCAATACTGTTAAAAAAAATAAAATGAGTACAAATGATTTTATAGATCAAACAAATAGGTTATGTACCGGATTATGTCAAATATCAATGTGACCAACCTAATTTTGTCTTTAATCGTATCGTATTAAGTTGGTAAAAATATATTTAAAAGATGTCATTATTGTTATTAATCAGAAAATATAGGATTTAGTAGTTTGTTTAATATTTAATCTGAAAAAAGAATATCTAGATAATGAAATTTTTTTTAGCGACATCTGTTATTCAGTAACTGTTAAAATAGTTAGCTTGTAAACCAATCTGTCATGGTTTGGACCTCTGCTAAATATACAGAATGGTTCAGTTTTTAACCGGGAAACTATTAGGACGTAGTACTTGCCAAAATAACACAAATTTTTTATATAAATGTAGGGTCGCAACTCGTTTGTTTTCGAGCTATGAGCTGTCAAAGTTGAGTTAAAAATTTACATTTTATTTTGTATTTTGGCTGTAAGTAAACCGTAAAATTTGAAACTTTTGTACATATTTACATACCTTAAACTTCCCTAGCACCCTCTAAGGGGATGAAATTCACCATCCCCTAGATTTTTTTATAAGAACTTTTTAACGCTATCGAATATCAACATAAAATATGGGTTGTAAAGCTCATTCTTTAGTGGTACTTTTTTGTCTCTAGTATTTTCCTTAAAGTTAATAGTTTCCGTGTAAAAACAGAAATATCGTGCCATGTACCGCTATGTGCAGCCATGTTTAACTAAAATTATGCTAAAAGTTGGTTCTGAGAACTTGTAACTTTCATTTAATTGTAAGATGAATCCTCATAATTATTGATGATTATTAATAATTTTTGATTGTTATTAAACAAGAGTATCTATTTTTTAATATTGTTTAAAACAACTTGTGTACAACAAGTGTACAACTTCCATAGCCAGCTATAAAGAAAAATTTGTTTTTAATAATAGCAGCGTTTTACAATACAATGTAGCATATTTTATTTTTTTACGCTAAAACTGTTATCTTTAAGGAAAAAACTCAAGAGACAAAAAAGTACCAATAATGAATAAGCTTTACAACCCATATTTTTTTATTTTAATGTTCCATGGCGTTAAAAAGTTGTTCTAAAAACATCAAATGGGTTGCGAATTTCATCCCCTTAGAAGGCGCTAGGAACGTTTAAGGTATCGTTGAAAATAAGGTATTAACCAGTAGTACATACATACAAAATTTCAAATTCTACGATTTACTTATACCCGAAATAGAAGATAAAATGTAAATTTTTGGCTCAACTTTGACAGCTCATAGCTCGAAAACAAAAGAGTTACGAACCTATGTTTATATAAAAAATGCTATTATTTTGGCAAGTCCTACGTCCTAGTAAAGTTTCCCGATAAAAAACTGAACCAGCCTGTATACAGGTAATTCAAATTCGACCGCCACCATTGGGATCTCACACTGAGAGAAATGGATTGTACTATGCACTAAAAATATACTATAAGGTATAATACGTTTACCACGAATAGTGACAGCGAGACGAGATTGTATTCAGACAATAAATATAATGAATATAAGACAATGAATTGCTGCATGTATACAATGAATTGCTGCATGCATACAATGAATTGCTGCATGTATATTTTTTCTATAATACGATTCGTACAATCTATTTATCTCAGTGCAGAAACCATAAGAGATACAGAAATGGTTAAATGATCTAGCTGGTTTTGGTTTTAGTTTTTAAAATATGGCCGAAAAACAAAAAAATGACTTTTTCTATAACTTCTTTATTTTTGGTTTTTTCGTGAATCTGGAAAAACATTCTTAAGGCAACTTTTTTTGAAAAATGTCATGACACAACTAGAAATTTTCTCTGACGTTTCGTTTGCGTAAAACGAAAAAAAAAGCACTGGCGTTCATAAGATAAAATAAATCTGATGCTAGTTTCACAAAAATGAAACGTCGGAGAAAAATTCTAATTATGTCATGACATTTTTCATAAAAAGTTGCCTTAGGAATGTTTTTTCAGATTCACGAAAAAGGAAAAATAAAGAAGTTTTAGGCAAAAAACGAAAAAGTCATTTTTTTTTGTTTTTCGGCCATATTTTAAAAACTAAAACGGCTAGATCCAAAAACTTTGTTGAGAAATGATGAGCTCTAAGATACGCAACTTTGCCCCTATTTATCCTTTTCTGTATTTCTTATGGTTTCTAAGATCCCAATAGTGAGGGGTCGAATTTGAGAACTACTAAACACTAAGTACGATACTAAGTACAAACAATATATTTTTTCAGATATCAATTTCAAAATATACAGTGTGTCCCCGTAAGGTATAATACGGTATAATATAAGCGGTATGAGTTACAGCTTGGGGCGTTTTTTATCTGACACCCTGTATACAGTGTGTCCCCGGATTGTGTCCCCGTAAGGTATAATTGACGAAAAATTTTTGAATTCAAATTATATCTTTTGCAATTAAAGTCTGGATGTCATAAAACGAAATATAACCAAGTTTTAGTCAAATATTCTCAAAGTACCAAAGTTAACGCAAGAACTTTGTGAACCGTTGCAGGTAAAGTGTATACATTAAAGTATAAAGTGTGCTTCATTAATTGGATACTTCTTAGGAATTGATATTTTTCAGCATCTCTCTAACTTCGGTGGCCTGGTTTTTCTCCAGCATTAGATTTTGCCTTATCAAGGCTAATGGCATTAGATCTTCGGCTTCCCATTCTTCATTGTTTTCCAAGTTCTTCCAGCATTTTTTAATTACCGCAGATGTAATTTTTTTCCATGAATCGGAAAGTAGACATACGGCATGATACAAATTTATTTCTTTAAGGCATTATGTGATGTCTAATTCGTCATTACATATAACGTCGGTGAGTAAACTCTTTCGTAAACTCTTTTCGCTCTTTTTGTTAAGCGGATTGCATTCTGATCCATTGGTTGGATAAGGGCAGTGCAGTTAGGAGGTAAAAACATGGTTATTATTAACCCATCGTCACTAACTAACTAACTTTAATAACAATGCTTTACCAGGTAAGTTATTCTCTTTAGAATATTTTCTCACCTCTGGCACAAAACATTTCATGAACCACTCCTTAAAAAGCATCGAGGTCATCCATGCGTTTGAAGTTGATCTGTAGATGACTGGTATTTCTTTGTTTTTGAAGGCACGTGCATTCTTAGCTTTACCAATAACAAGCAATTTTAATTTATGGTCTCTTTCTGCGTTGGCACAGAGAAGGAAGGTTACTCTATCCTTGCTAGTTTTACGTCCTGGTGCTGTTTTTTCGTGGGATCCCACCAAAGTTCTATCTGGTCAGCTAAATATTCACATGAAATAGTACAATGACGAGATCTTTTTTTCAAAAACCATAAATATAACGCATTTTTCATTTTTGGAATTTCACCCGTCTTCAAAGTTTTCCTCTTCCCAGTACCATGATAGCAGTTTTTTACAAAACTGAAGAGAAAATCGGTTAAAATTTAACAAAATACATACATACTTACTAAAAAATTATATCTTTCTACACTTACCTCTCGATTTTCGATTTATTTTTTTGTATATCCGAAATGGTTGAACAACCAATTTTATATATTTTAGCTAATTCGACACCTGAATGCCTCTTTTACAATTTTTCTAAGATTGCATACTTTTCATCCAATGACGAAGTATTATGCTTTCTTTTTGCCATAATGACGGTAAAAGAATAAACACGTTTTAACAGGTTCAATACCTCGGAGACAGTAGAGGTTATGAACGTTCAGAATGAATAGTGCAATACTGAACACAAATAAATACGCATTCGGATTACAGGTTATTACATTTGCGGACCATACAATCCGAGTCTAGGTTCGGATTACGGGGTACCTCGGATTACAGCATATACGGATTATCGAGCCTTTACTGTATTTTCACTCTACATTAAGTGCTGAGTTAAACAGTTTTGGTCAGATATGTCCTGCGTTCATTTCTCTTTAATTTTAAAATAACAGACATGCTTGAAAACAAAACATAGTAAAACAGGAGCGACCAATAGCATGTTTGTACCTAAGACCAGTCCAAGCTACATGTAACAAACGTGTACTTTGGACTTTCGTAATGATTACCTATAATAAAGAAATTCTAAATTTTGTTAAGTGTGACTTTATGTTTTTTTGAAAATGCCACGAAGAAAATTAAGCAATAAGCGAGTGTCGGTTAATAAAAGAAATTTATCATCGGCAATAAAAGATGTTCTTGTGCACAAATTCTCTGTTGGTCAATCCGCTGTTGCTAAGACAACACCACTTCGTCTCTTGAAAAGTTATCAATTAATGAGTGACAACGTTTTTGCATACCGGTTAAATATAACAAACAACATCTATTAGTAAAATAAGTGACAACAAAAATATAAAAATTAGTGTGAATAGTAGAGATATTAGATTCATGAATTAAAGAAAGAAAAGCTGTTAGGACTTGGATTCGTGTGTTTCTCTTCCGACATCTAACAATAAGCCTTCGTAAGCTTGAGTCTACTAAAAAAAAATAAAAAATAAAAATCGTAAATTTAAAACAATGCTTAACGCGATATAAAGACATTTTGTGGCCAGAATAGTGAATAAAATTGATGAGGAATACAACGTACAATTTTACAAAAAAATAGTTGACACAAAAGCAACCAGAAACTATCTTCTTAGCGATGAAGATGTTTTTTTTTTGGTGATACTGTTACGTCTTTCTTTTCTTCTTTCATTTAATAATACAAGAGAACAAATTAAACTAATCTACCAAAAAAATTCATAAAATGTACATTTGACGCCACTGTATTTTTCTTATGTAGTTTGATCCCATAAACCCAAAAATCACATTTAAAATTTTTTCTGTGGATACGTTTTGGAGCTATGTTTTTTTAGGGGTAATTTGGCTATTTGCAGCATATCTCGAGTTACAGATGACTGATCTGGTCGTGCTATTCATCACATTAAAGAGTATTGTATACCCAATAAATGGTATCAATACTTATTCCAATCGGTTCGGTAGTTTTAAAACAATGGCCCATGATATGTGAAAAAGGGTTTTTTTTTAGACAAAATGTGAAC